GCTCACGTCCTTCAGCGTGAGCGCTACCATCTCGGCTCTCACTTTCCATACATGTACAGAACCGTGATGAACTGCAGGAGTGCCCGCTTCGATCCCTTGCTCACTAAGGAGATGGTGGCGCCCCACTTGACTGCAATGGATTTCAGCTGCTCCACCGTGTCTGATGCCAGCTCCTGCTTGATGAGGTCGAGGTAAGTCGCTTGGTTGGACAGCGTGCGTTCGTGCAGCCACGCCTTGAAGACCTTGTCCGTGAGGCTGGTGGGAAGTGGTACCTGTTGACCCTTGGGATTGCCCTGACGTAGAAGTTCTGGATCCAATGTGATGTCCGGGGCAACCTCCGGAGTCTTGCGCTTTGCCGGCCGTCTTTTGGGAGCTGGATCAGCCTCCGGGGATGGAACTGGTAGGGGAGGTCCCTGAGCATCCGACCTCGCCGCGTTGATTTAGAGGGACTGGTCAGAGCGGCCGGGTGTAGGTGTCCAGGATGCGGTATTGGAAGGAGACGATGATGGCTGCTTCTTGTCCGGTGTGAGAGTGATCCCTTTGTTCTTGTAGCGTTCAAGCTGTTGTTCCAATTCGGCAATTTTGTGGCGAGTGAGGTTCTCCTGCTTGGCGGGCTGCAGCGACTCGATGAGATCCACGATTTTGAGCGTTGTCCGCATGGAGAGAGCGGGCCGTCCTGACGATGTCGACCTCCCTGCCTCTCAAGGCTTTGAGAATAGATGTCAATAACACTGGCTCGGCTATTGTCTGAGCCATTACCGGTGTACTGTATCGCCCGTTCGACAGCGATCGTAGTGCGTGATCTTCTGCTCCTCCTCGAAGAAGTCGGTACAGTTGCAGGCCGCCCTCCGTCTTGTCGAGGAAGATGTCGTCAGATTGAAAGGTGCTGGGAAGCAACTGCGAATATCGAGGCTGAGTGTACTGCGTTGCATCGCCTTGACCTAGAGGTGCACGGGCCTGAAGTTGAACTGGTGGTGCTGGTGGTGGGGGTCGAGGACCCGTCTGCATGTAGGTTGTGCCACCACCATGATAGTTGTAGAACTGACCAGGAGGCTGAGGAGGGAATTGGTAAGCCATATGTGGAGGCCGAGGAGGATTAACCCGAGATGCTGCTTCCTCTCAAGGTTGGTGCTGCGAAGATTCCGTCCGATTGGAGCTCAAATAGGCTTCCTGCTGGGACTGCTGTACTGACCATGATGGAAGGTGCGAAGATCCCGGAGGCGAGGAGGAAGAAGGTGCCGACGTCGCCGGCCATAAGTGGGTCCACTGGGAAGCCATCACGGGATGAGGGATCATCTGCGACACTTGCTGATTGATTAAACGCTAGGCATACGGCACGAATTGTCGAAACGGTCACCGATTTGCAATCAAGCCCAGGGCATTAAAACCTAGAAACAGCGAGTCAGCACATTGCAAAGGAAACCGCAAGAAGACTAACAAAATAAAAAGTCATGCTTGAGTAAGGCTCTAGCATGCACTTTTTGTCGCAAAATATCGTCGGCGGTCGAAGACGGCAGTGTGGTGAAGAATGCTCTTATTTGCAATGAAACATCATTAATTGTCATCGGTGCAGCAGCTCTTGATGCAGGTTCACGAACGGAGGACACCTGTGGGCGGTTTCGCATCGGTAGGCCATGCGAGTCCAACGATCTGGCTTGCTTCTGGAATCACCATCCAACACTTGCCCGACACATAGTGGATGACATCAGGACGCTCGCTGGAGTCCAAAGCCTCAATGCAAGCTTGCTCTCCTCCCGAACGAATCGGCTGACAGGTACCGACAGCGCGCCCAAACAGCAGCAATTGGGCCATGTTGAAAGACATACTCCGGTTCTGGCTCATCGTGCGGGCAATTTCTTCAGCATCATAATCGGCGTGTCCAGTGATCTTCCAACCTTGGGCGTGAAAGGCTGGGCACTCCGAGGAGTGCTGCCGGGAAGGATGTATCTGTCGGCTTCGCAGTATGCCTCTGGTGCCGCCGACACTGGATGCGTGAGTCCAGAGCAGCATGGGCCTCGTCTTCGTTGGTTCTTTGAGCCGAACTGTGGCGCCAAGGTAGGGGATGGTCAGCATGAACCAGTGTGGCGTGATCTTGGGGTAGTGATGTTCCGGGTTGACCTTGGCATAGTTCAGGGTGGAGTGCCGAGACGGTATGCCTGCTGCATTTAGAGTAGCGGCCACATAGTCCATCTGCTCCTGATTGACCGGGATCCCATCGCGGACGTACGGCGAGGCGAGCGCCTGAAGTTCATTCCTCCACGGGTCGGACTCCGGGTTGGGAAGCAAGACCAGCGGTGGGTGCACTTGTGGATTGGGGCGTAGCTGCATGCTTCTCGAGGATGACTCTGCATCTGGATGAGCACCTGTGGCCTTTGAGGCTGGAGCCGATGGGGCACTGCTTCTGCTGCGCGGAAGGGGAGATCGGTTGCTTCTCGGTCGCCGGGATGAAGCTTTAGTCGCCGTAGGTACTCGGGATGGGGATTTAGCTGCTGTAGGCGCC